AGAGAGAGAGAGAGAGAGAGAGAGAGAGAGAGAGAGAGAGAGAGAGAGAGAGAGAGAGAGAGAGAGAGAGAGAGAGAGAGAACTGAGCGATACAAGATTGGTTTATCACGCACCTGCGCTGAAGACATCACTGAGGAGAGAGAGAGTTGAGTGATACAAGATTGGTTGTGCGGTCCAAGACGAAGTAGCGGCCATAGCCGCGGAGCTCGGGACACGGAGGAGAGACAAAGGTGAAGTAGAGAGGAAGGAGGAAGGAGAGACCGGAGAGGAAGAGAAGACATAGCTGAGGAAGGAGGAAGGGGGGACACTAAGTGGAAGACAGACATAGCCGGGGGTGAACACAAACAAAAAAAAAAAAAAAAAAAAAAAAGAGAGAAAGAGAAAGGGCGAGAAGACGAAAGAAAAGGAAAGAGAAGAGGAGGTTGGCGAGGAAGGAGGTGCCGACAGCCATAGCCGACCAGAGGGTTGACCGGGCGTTGACCAGAGGGTTGACCGAGTGCGGACCAGAGGGTTGACCGGGTGTTGACTAGAGGGTTGACCGGGCATTGACCAGAGCGTTGACCAAGGCGTTGACCGGAGCTGTTGACCACGGTTTTGACCAAGCTGGAGTTGGTATAATCTCGCCAAGCCCTTAGCCTATCCCCTCGCCCTATGGATGTGCACTCACCCTATGGTACTTGCTGAGTCTGAGTCTGTATGTCTCTTCTTTCTGCATTGAGTCTCTTCTGTCCACGTGATAGGACTCCGTGTATGAAGGATAGGGCCTCGTTGACCAAACCCACACGGGCTGAGTATCCTAAAGACTGTGTCTGACGACTCGACTGTCCTGGAGGACACGAACCCTCCCAAGGACCGGTACTGACCGGCGGGCTGCTCGGTGTGGCACGGTAGGCCCAAACTCCGAGCTGTGGGCTGCACAACGGGCCGTCTAAGTCTTGAGAGAACCTGCTGACCACGTCGTCTTGTCTACGACGTAAAAGAATTCCTGAGGAGTTACGGGGGATCTCCTTGAATGCCTCCTGGTCAGCAACAGGTTCCGTAGTGATGGCTGTAGTATTAGAGTCTATAGAGTCTAGGCTAGAGATCATAGTTGATAGGGCTCTCTACGAACCCTGTGGTCCATAGATTGAGTCAGTCTTAGGTTGGGTCAGTCAGGGGAGAGTCTAAGTGGTGAGGAGCGGAACTGTCACTTGGTTGTGCACTTTTCACCATGGTTGACACGCGTAGTGGTCGGAGCACCTCCCCTTACACCGCCGAAGAGGAGGCGAAAGCCACCGCCCTCCTGAAGGATAGAAGAGAGAAGGAGGCGAAGAAGAAGGCCCTGATGCAGGAACAGGCGGCCAAGTTGAAGAAGATTGAGGAGGAGATGGCCGGAGAGAGAGAGAGGTTGAAGAAAGAAGACGAGGAGAAGCTTAAAGTGGTAGAAGAGGAGGAAGAGGTAGAAGAACAGCCACTGGAAAGGTGAAGGGTAAGAGAGAGAGGAGAATCCAGTGGCGCCAAAGAGGATCTAATGGAGAAGAAGGTTACAGAGTGGGTTGTCGGATTATCCTTGGGAGAAGATGAGGAGGCCTTGATGTATGTGCCCAGGGAAGAACAAGAGGCGGTCGTGAAAGAGTGGGATGTTGAAGAAGATCCACTCAAGCGACAGGTTTTGGAAGATGAGAAAAGAATGGAGTGGAAGTTTCGTCTGACAAGGGAACGGAAAAGAAGGATGGAGGCGGCGAGCCAGGCGGCAAGAGAATTGGAGGAGATAAAGAAGCAGAGAGACCAAATGGCGACGCAGGTGGATTTACTGGGAAAGATGGAAATTATGGCAAGGAACATAGAGCGCCTGGCGCAAGTCCAGGAAGCAGAATTTTTATTTGGTAGAAGTTAGGACATTGTCGTGCGTTCTATACGATTGGGGCTCAGGGACTTTGCACGGGAATTGGCAACACAGGTGGGCTCAGAAGTGAGGGCCCGCCTAGAAGGCACAGAGCGATATTGCACAGGCGCCATAGAGGGCGCCAGACTGACCGCTCCCAAAGGGGAGGAAGCACGTCCCCGTGGGGAGCTTGTCAATGTCAAATTTCCCGATTTCTACAGCGGAAAGAAGGAAGAAAACTTTGACAATTGGGAAGCAAACGTCAAAACGTACGTGCACTTACACAAAGTTTCCCCAGATGAGCAGGTCTTAATAACCATCCACGCTCTGAAGGAGGAAGCCGCCAGTTTTGCCCGTTCCCTGCTCCGCGCTGCTAATTGTAGTGATGATGTAGTTGCTTATTCTGCCTTCAGCCCCCTCGTTGACTTTCTTAAGTTATTCCGCGAACGATTTCCAGACGTTTCGCGCAATGTCAAAGCCTCCGATAGGTTGCAGACTATCCATTCTCGTCAGTGGAAGAGTGCCAAGGCACTCAAAGGTGTGATGGATGAGTTCGTAGCTGTTCCAGACCATGGGGTCACAGAGACCCAATTGGTCAACCTCTTCCACCGGGCTATGCCCGAACAGTTGCGTTGGCACTTCTTTGAGAAGAGCCAGCAGCCCACCATGACATATGACGCATTGAGCAGGGAAGTAGTGGCATTTGAAGCGAGGTCCATGTCAGTTTCCACTTTCTGGCACAAGGACGTGAACAAGGGGAAAAAGTGGAAGGGTCGCACTATCTCCGGACAAGTTACGACCAAGGATCACTTGATCCTTACATTAGATGAGGGTAGTGTTGACGAAGTCCCCTACGAGCAGATTGAGTGGGGGCTAGAGGAGAGGAGGAGGACAGTGGTGTGAGCCAGGGGAGGACTTACGCTGCTGTCGCGGTTGGAGGGAGGCTGCAAGGAGGAGGTAGAGGCCAGGGCCAAGGGGGCCGGACCTCAGGTGGTCGTACCCAGGGTGTTCAAGGGGTTGGCGGCAGAGGCAACCGCCAAGAGGGAGGCAGGGGTCAAGGTCCCCCGCAAAACCGCTCAGGGAATCGGTCACCCAATAGTGGATATAGATCACCCTATAGGAGAGGAGGATGGCACCCAGGGATGCCTCAGGGCAGGCCCTGAGAAGACTTGGGCTTGGACCAGCGCGTATGGCAACAACGTGTGGACCAGGTGTAGTGCATCTATTGCGGTGACCCTGGCCACATTTTTAAATTTTGTCCAAAGTATAGGGAGGTCCGATCGGCTGCTCATGGGTCAAAAGGCAGTCGCCGGTAGGGGTAGCAACCGCCCCTACCATAAGGCCATATGAGGAAACAAGCGCGAGCCGGCAGGAAACTCCCACACCACATGCACCTATGGCAGAGGTTGCAGGCCGGTGCCTAAATAGTTGTCCAGAGACTGCTTGTGTCAGAGTCTCTTCAGGCACTTCCCTCACAGGCGCGACCGATGACTTGAAGGAGAGAATGCCCACCTGGGCCAAGATGAAGAAGGAGAGTAGAGTACAACTAGTCTTGGTAGATGTAGAGATTTTTAGAGGCAGCGTAGGGGCCCTCGTAGACAGTAGGGCCACTCGCAGCTATATTAGTAGGAAGGCGCTGCAGAAGTTGAAGCTGGGATTAAAAGTCCAAAAGCTAGCAGACCCCGTAGTAAGTATCCTCGCAGATAATTGCACGATGCGAGTGGAGGATTACGTAGAGGGAGTCCAGGCGTACTTCCGCCTAGAGAAAGATGGGAAGGTGGATAAAGTTCTCAATTCCCTGACTCTCCTCGAAGAAGATAGCCTTCCTTTCGACATAGTCCTAGGTATGGACTGGGGAGAGGCAGCAGAGGCCACACTCCATTTGAGAGAGCACGAGTGTAGGCTCCCTAGTCCATCAGGCGGAATCAAGACTGCCCGTTTGTTTCATGTGTCCGGAGTAGACAACTCCTTGGCACACTACTGTCTCAGCGCTCCTGCGTTCGCAAGGTTAGTAAAGAAGGAGCAGCTAGAGGAACAGGTTTTCGTAACCTATGTTAGGCCAGTGACTGAGCCCAAAGAGGAAAAACCTATAGACCCTGCGATTGCCAAGTTGCTGGAAGAGTTCACAGACTTAGCGAAGCCGCCAACAGGGGTAGTACCGCGGCCTATCCAGCATCGCATTGAGATAGAGCCTGGCAGTTGAACTCCCAAGGGAGCAGTGTATAGGATGTCCCCGCGGGAGTTGGAGGAGTTGAGCAAGCAATTAGACGAGCTCCTAGAGAAGGGTTGGATTAGGCCCAGTTCGTCTCCCTTTGGAGCACCTGTACTATTTGTCCCCAAGGAGGGAGAGCTTAGGATGTGCATAGACTACAGGGGTCTGAACGCAATCACCATGAAGAATGTTGAGCCACTGCCCAGGATAGACAATCTCTTAGATCGAGTGCAGGGGTGCAGATATTTCTCGAAGATAGATTTGAAGTTCGAATATCATCAGATAGAAGTCCACCTTGATGATCAGTACAAGACAGCTTTCCGGACTAGATATGGGCATTATGAGTTTATAGTAATGCCCTTTGGACTAACCAATGCGCCAACGACTTTTCAGCGTTGTATGAACGACTTGTTCAGGCCGTGGTTAGATAGGTTTGTAGTAATTTACCTAGACGATATTCTAGTATGTAGTAAGACCCTCCAAGAGCATCAGGGTCATCTGAGGCAGGTCTTGGAAAAGCTAAGAGAAGTTAACTTCAAGATCAATGCGAAGAAGTGCAAGTGGGCGAAGACCCAAGTATTGTATCTAGGCCATGTCTTAGACGAAGACGACATCAAACACGAAGACAGCAAGACCGCAGCGATTAGAAATTGGCCTACACCCCGCACGTTGACAGAATTGCGGTCGTTCCTAGGCCTAGCCAACTACTATAGGAAGTTCGTGAGGAACTTCTCCACCATCGCTGCACCCCTTCGCAGGTTGTTGAAGAAAGAAGCGATCTGGAAGCGGGACAAGGACTGCACATCTGCTATGAAGAAGTTAAAGCAGGCGTTGATAGAGTATCCGGTCCTTAAGGTAGCCAATCCGTCCTTTACCTTTCGTCGTCACTACTGACGCGAGCCAGTATGGTATAGGTGTTGTGTTACAGCAAGACGATGGCCATGGATATAGGCCCGTAGAGTTCATATCTACTAGGATGCCTTCAGAAAAGGTAGCGACATCTACCTATGAGAGGCAACTCATGCTCTCAGGCAAGCTCTAGAACACTGGAAGCACAAATTGCTTGGGAGGCACTTTAAAGTCTACTCAGACCATGAGATGTTAAGGTGGTTGAAGAGGCAGGCCAAGATGACACCTAAGTTGACTAGGTGGGCCGCAGAGTTAGACCAGTATGATTTCGAGCTCAAGCCAGTCAAAGGGAAGTATAACGTAATTGCGGATGCTTTGAGTAGGAGAGCTGACTACTTCGGGGCAATAGTTCACTATCTGGATATAGGGAGAGACTTGCAGCAAAAGGTTAGAGACGCGTATGCGCAAGATCCTATCTATAGCGACCTTCTCAAGAGGGTCAAGGGAGCCCCGGAGGCCGAACCAGATTACCGCACTACTAACGGATTACTATTTGAGAAGACTAACGTAGTGGACAGATTGTGCGTCCCCAACGGTGAAGAGATCCGTAGTTTGATCCGAGGGGAATGTCACGATACAGAGTGACATTTTGGTTGGCAAAAGACTCTAGCCATCCTAATGAACGCGTACACCTGGCCAGGGATGAAGAATGACTGCATAGAGTATGTTCGCAATTGCAAAGTTTGCCAGAGGAATAAGACTACTACGCGTGCCCCGCTAGGTCTTCTCAGACCCTTGCCTATTTAGCAAATATGCTGTTTTTATTCCTTTGCCTTCTGAGGCACGTACAAAATTAGTGATTCAAAATTGGGTCAGTGAGCACGGGGTCCCATTGTCCATAGTTAGTGATAGAGACACCCGGTTCACTAGTCAGAACTGGCAGGAGTTGATGAGAGTCTATGGCTCCAAGTTGTTAATGTCATTTGGCCGCCATCCAGACCAACGGTCAGACTGAATAGATGAATAAGATCCTGCAGCAAGTTCTCCGTATGTACATTAGACCTGATCAAGTCAACTGGGATGAGATGCTTCCAAAGGTAGCCAGCGCCTACAACAATAGTGTGCATTTGTCTACCTGTTGCACTCCCAACGAGTTAACAAGTCTTTCAGACCGCGTAGACCATTTGAAGGACTTAATCGGGATCAGATATAGAGGCTACCGCCCGGTACTGGGGAGTTTGCGCTACAGCACGAGAAAGAGTTAGCTACCGTGATCGAGAACCTCAGGAAGGCCCAACACCGAATGATAGAGCAATCTAATAAGCATCGTCGCCCGTCACAGTTTCAAGTAGGCGACTTAGTCTGGGTCAAGTCTAAAGAGTTTGCTCCTAAGGAGAATATCTCGCAAAAGTTACTGCCCGCGTATAGAGGACCGTGGCCAGTTCTAGAAGTCAAGGGCGGAGAGGATGGGCCGTCCTACACAATAGAGATCCCAGCACACCTCCACACCTACCCTGTATTTCATGCATCCAAGTTGCTGCCGTATGTTACAAGTCAGCAGTTTCCATCTAGACGGTCCATGATCCCTCCAGACATGGATGGAAAGTATGACATTGACGGCATCGTAGGTGAAGGTGTGTTTAGAACAGGAGGTAGAGGTCGTCCACAGAAACAGTATAAAGTCCGATTTGCTTATCAGGAGCCAGAGGACGACCACTGGTTTACGAGAACAGAACTTCTAGAAACAGCTCCCGACAAAGTTAGAGCCTATGAGAGTGATAAAAAGGGAAAAGGTCCTGCCTTGGACTGAATTATTCTCGGAGGACCTCGAATTTAGGCCGACGGGAGTGAAACGGTTTTCACCTGTCAGCAGTAGCGAGTGCAGGTCCCCAGGGCTCGATCCCTAGCTCTCACCTTACCTGTGTACAGTATCTGTGTCGACCCCGAGTGTTTGAACCTGTGACCTGTGTTTTGACAGTTGTTGTTGTCTGTCGTAGGTCGGTGTAGGGGTAGGGGTTCGATCTGTAGACCTGTCGGATAGGAGTCCTAGTGAGTTCTAGAAGTCGTAGCTGTAGCCTGTCCGCAGGGTCAAGGTCGTAGCTGCTACAGTCCTGAAAGGTCAAGGTCGTAGCTGCCACAGTCCTGAAAGGTCAAGGTCATTGCTGCTACAGTACCAAAAAGCCAAGTCTACAGACTTCCGGAAGTGGCCTTTCGGAGTAGGCTCACGTTAGACAGAGGCAAGTGGGCAAGTGGTGGAGCCAACCTCAGTGTGTTGGCAGTGCAACTGCAGTGAGGTTGCGGTCCAACCCCATGCAGTCAGCGGTACGGTTCAGGCAGTCCCAGTCCAGTCCAGCAAGTACCATACGGGACTGTGTGCACAATTGGCCGATGGAAAAGGGCCAGACCAGCGAGCTACAGAAGTATAAATCAGGAGGCAGCGTCCAGCCATTCATTCATTCCTGCGTAAGCCATGCGGAAGCGCTGCCATACCGACTTGAGCGAGGTGGTCTGCAGTGAGCCCGAGGACGAAGTGGGCGAGAAGGAGATAGCCATAGTGATAGGGTAGTAGCGGCCATAGTCGCCATAGCTGTAGGTGTGTGTGAGTGTGTGCGCGAGCGTACAGAGTGTTGCGTGTGAGATATCCAGGGTGATCCTGTGTGCGAGCAGCAGTGTTGAGTGAGGGACGAACAGAGAGTTGTTCAGGCGATGTGCCACCATAGCCATGTGAAGTGAACTTGTATCTGAGTGCGTTCTTGGTACTATATCTCTGAGTTCTGAGTGGGCGCCTGGCGCCAGTTGCTGCACAACCTGTTCGCATGCTTGTGAAGTGTGAATGAAGTCGAGTCTGATTGCAAGCCTATCTTCCCCCCCCCCTTCGTCAGTCTTCTCCCCACTCAACTCTCTTTCATATCTCCCTTCTTGTCGGCCTTAATCGTCGCCAGCGATGTCTAGTGGATGCAGTGAGCAACTGCTCCGATACCAGTTTGCAACGGACCTGTTAGTTTAACACCAGTGAGCACACACAATCACACCACATG